GTAGCCTCCGCAGCATTTTTGCAAGGGTTGCAGACGTACATCCAGGGATTTTGACTGAGGTGAATTTCAAGGATATTGTGGTTCCATGGCAGCATAACGTCTGTTGTGAGGGGACAAGGCTGCCCCAAGACGTAGATAGCGGCGTGCTGCTATAACATCATCCCCAACGTCTCCCGATATCTAGGGGTAAACGTGGTGCCCATGCCCTAGTCATAGTCCCTATGCAATCCCCGAAGAAATCCCTATAAGTGTCCACATAGGTACTGCCTTACTTCAGGAGACGCGGTTTCGGATTTGGTCTTCAGCGCCATCACCTGCTGGGTTTGCCTGCGGCACCTTGAAGTCTGACAGTCGAGTGCGAAGATCGTAAGACCGCCGGGATTGGAATATCCATGATGCGACGAGGTAGAGGCCCCGTTATACCCTTAAGCATATAAACCCAATGCAGGCGTATATTATAAAAAAGCAACCATGGCCCACACAAAAACTTCATGGGAGGCTTGGATGGGTCAAGCTTGATTGAAGTCCCCAGGCAGCAGCCGTGGAACAGACAGCTGGTCGCTGCTTCGACTAGCTCGGATGCTGCGGAATTGGAGCTTGCAGCTTTTGAGCCTTGGGCATTCAGATCTCCAGGGCCGCGTTTAGCCACCGTGTAGGCATTGGTACCCTTCAACGTAAGCAGGTGTTCGGCTTCATGATCATAGGGTATGAGGCGGCTGGGTTTTTGGTGTGAGCCTGGAAGCGGATGATGCGGCTGCATCGCTTCTTGCAGTATCAGTGCTGTATCAGGTATAGGCTTGTCAATCTTATTCTCATCGCATCTACCTGTAAGAACGGCATCATTGTTGCTGGTGGCGACTGCTGCGCCTCAGCAACTTGCAACTGGCACTGCCACTGCCGCTGCCACTGCTGCGCTGCTACTTACTGCTACTCCTGCCCACCACGACTTCTACCACCACAAGTGCCAGTGCAAGCGCTGCACTATTACTAGTCGTGCTAGAAGTGGAAGTGGTGGTGGAAGTGGTGGAAGTGGTGGCGGTGGCGGTGGCGGTGGCGGGGGCGGGGGCGGGGGCGGGGGTGGCGGTGGCGGGGGTGGCGGTGGCGGTGGCGGTGACGGTGGCCGTGGTGGTGGTAAAAGAAGAAGCAGTAGGACTGGTACTTGTGCAATCCCCAGAACAATGCAGGACGCCTTCCAGCTAATCGACGCCTGTATCAGCCGAAAGTTCACACCTTTTGTAGTGGAACCTCTAAACCAAACCTACACCGTCAATGTCTTGGCCGCGCGAGTGGTCAGGATCTTGCTGCTGACTCCAACGCGCTCCCGAACAGTACCTTGTAGCATTCAGGAGTTGGGTGCAGCCCCCAAAACAGAAATCATGAATGTGTTATGGCGTTTCCCGCTTGGAAGTCTGATGTTTCTGAGCTTCACTGTAGTTTGCACATGTTTTAGTGCGTCCCAGCTGAAAAGTTTTGGAGCCTCTAGTTTGCGGTTCTAGTTCTGCGCTTTGTCTGAAGGGGCAGTACAGGAAAGCCTCCCTTTCGCTCCTCTTCTTGTGAAGTTTATTATCCGCAAGAAAGACGGGTAGTGCAATGCTTGGTTTGTTTAGCTGCGAACGGCTCGTTATCTTGTGAAGACATCTTAGTTCCCATGAAGGGCATTTGAAACCCTCGCTGGCAGGAACTTTGGACAGTCTTTTCCAACATTATACGGAATGGGCTGGAGATTTCCTGAGGGGTGAAGGCGTCTGCAGGATCTCTATGTGAGAGAGACATAGAAAGAAAGCAAGGAAGGCCAAAGTCTCTAGAGCAAATCCCGTTCGTCCTGAGAATGACTGTGGAATCCTCACAAACAAATCCCTTGCCGCTTCACAATTCTTTTTAAGAATTTGTGAGACTGATCAGGAGAAGTTTCTTGTTTGGTTGCAACCTGAAGATCTACAGTTGTAAGGTTCAGACATCAATGGGTTTCTTTGCAAATTTGTGTAACGAGTATGGTACAACACGCCAAAGAAATCTTGGGTGCGTGCATAGATGGGCAGACAATATTTTATTAGCAATCCTGTGGGAGCAAACATAACCTTGTATTCCTTGCGTAATGATTTCATCATATTTCATCAAAATCTAAACCCTCGTCCCATTCTCGAATCTACTTCAAGTTAAGATTCCCCAGACTCCTTCCAGGTGAACCCGCGGGCGCGCCTCGGAACCACCTTGTCGAACCTGGGCCCGCAGCTGCGCAGCACCGTCAGAGGTGTTGGTGGCTGCGGTTGACACTGGCAGCAGCACTTGGAGTCTCGCTGCTGGCCACTCGGGCTCGTCTAACGGTTCTCGTTGGCGTTTTTTTCTGTAGTAGGGGCAGTGTCAGTTCTTGTCCCTAAGAATACAACCTTCTACACACCGTATAATACAGTTACATACACGTATGTATATACGTCTTCTTTTCAGAATGCATTCGCCGGTACTCCTTGCATGTATATTATGTACACACACATATATATATATATATGTACATTATATATATATATATGTACAAATTACGCATCTATTTGTGTATTTGTATGTGCATACCTATATATAAGGGTTTCATTCATTATTTGAGAAAGGGGGTCAAGGGCCCATTGCGATGTCTGTTGCAATCGCCAGTGGCACCTTAATGTGAGAAATCCCCATGCAGCGCATGCTCACTCGGGAATGGAATACCAAGAGTTTCTGTGGCGGGGATGGCAGAGGGAAAAGGTTGTATATAACGCGTTGAGTGATTAGAGCCACCTCCTTGTTCCGGGCAGCGTCTCTCTTGCGCGACCGAATGTGTTGGAAGTGTCTGTTGTCTTGAAGCTCACATCCCAACGGTACCCTAAATCTTATTCCCTCAATCCTGATCTGAACAGCCAAGGCTCAGATCGTTGGACTGTTGTTGTTTTTGCTGGGCACTCCTGCCCCCACCTTTGCCAGGCTGGACCTGAGGAACGTTGCGTTGCATGTAAAAGAAAGTGGATCTTTCCTCTTCGCCGTGAGCATGAGGTACAGCCTCCATTGTTAGTCTCTCAGCGTCGTGGTTACCAACTCACTGGACGCTAATCTTCACATACGGGTTTCTTTGGGAGGCCCATACAGATGATTTTCACGTGGGTCGATGTACCGTTTAGTACACGGCATAGGCAGTAAGAGATGGCTTGTTGCAGTGAGGACGTGAGCGCATGGTTGATATCATCTGGCATGCAGGCTTCAAATTGAGGGTGGCCGAGTCACTTAGAAGCACAGTTGAAAGCAGGGGTCGCCACCTCATAGCACTGAAGTGCTATCTTAGCCGGATATGTGTTTGGCCCGTGGTGAAGGCTGCCTGGGGGTTCGGCAGTGGCATACTGGTGCGAGGGCCAAGGCAATGCATCCCTTGTCGTGCCTCGGAGTGATTTTAACTAGTTGGTTGTCATGCAGCGGGTCTAACCGCTGATAACCAATACTGTGCTGCCTCAAAGGTACTCAGGGTGCCATTGCGTCGTTCTTTGTTGGTCCGCGTAAGGCTCGAAGCCAGCCGTTGACTTCTACTGCACCTTTTAGGTTTGCCAGTTGAGCTTTCCCACCCATCTCACCAATATCGTACGCCCGAAGCCCGGCGGCTGTCAAGGACCATGGTGGTGTGGGAGCCTTTCACTTCCGTTAACAAGCTAGGCCAGCGTAAAGGGGGCATGGAAGGCTCGACCAGAGGTGAAAGAAGTGTCTTCAATCCTGGAAGGCAGGCTCAATCCGGAGGATGAAATTTCATTAGCATCGAATCGCATTGAATTGTTGAAGCCTCATGCAAAATCTCCAGAAGCTCCCAACCCTGGGCTCTGCAGAATTCCGGGCACGGTGAAGTGCGATGGCACCAAAAGCATGCATGCCGGCGTTTGTGGTTGTTGTCTTAGGGCATTGTTCACCTGTAGCTTAGCTGAGTTTGCTATAATGTTATGAAAGATTTAAGGCTTTCTAAGAGCATTGACCTGGTGACTATAGGTCCCTGAATGTCCAGAAGCCCTTAAACTAAACCCTATTCTTTGGGGGGATATTCTTCGTAAGTTAAATGGCCATCAGGTGCTGCAACCAGGTTGGATGGGCCCTGCTGCCTCCTTGTACTTTGTGCAACAAGGCTTGAGCTTCACATGGGGGTTCGCACACATGGGGGGCCTTGAAGGAGCTAATACAGGGGTATATAGGGGGTTCTGAGGATGTCTCCGGATATACGAGATTTTAGGTTTTCGACAAATCTGGGGTTTCTGTCTGGGGGACACTCATAGTAAGGGTTGTAGATTTGGGATATACAAGGGCACCCTCTATATATGGAAACATGCACATGGAGGCTTCTCGAAACCCTGGCATTGTTTGGTGTAATGGCAAGGGAGGTAAGCACGGTTCTTTTTAAGCCAGACTTCCAGGTGGGCCAGAATTGATTTTTTTAGGCGGGGCAGAATTGATTTTTTCGTTCCCCCAAAACTAGAAAGGCTCAAATGGTCCTGGTTCCTTGGTTCAATCGGAGCTCTCTGAGGGAGAAGCTCCATTTCCTCCGCTGCAAATTAGCCAAGATCTTTAGACACTGCATGTGATGTCAACACTAATCATGAACGCTCCCCTCCTGAATAAGAAAACTCTCTGTGTGGGTGACCTTGTTTTAGGGGTCGGCGCGCCCATCCCTGGGTCCTGCGGTAAAATCATGAGCCAAGCTTTTTTTGAAATAAGGCCAGTCAACAGCAATGATCGCAATGTTTCCTGCATCTTGACACTCAAGTCAATTTAGTAAGGGCGATGTCATTCTCTGGTTCTTCATAACTACAACTCCCTCGTGGAGAAGGCAGCTCCTAAACATTTTGGCCGGAAAAAACATGTCAACATAGGGGTTCATGACAAGGGAGAGGGCAGCACTCTGAATCTGTTGCGTTCACTGACCAGCACTGCACAACACAGCCCCATTTTGTGCAACATCTGGCCTGCAGTGTCCTGAAGCCTTGAAACCAATTTGCCTGCAGGTCTGGCCGTGGCCACCCGCGTTTGCAATTCGGCTGAGAGAAGAAGCCTTACATTGCTGCCTGGGTTTCAATGTGAACTGCTCAGGTTTTCCGATCTCGGCCTTCGCGGATCCAGGGTTCAGGGTTCAGAATAGAGGCAGCTTTTCACAGTGGACTCGTCCGCACATGTACGCTGTTCCCAGATCATGTAAAGACGACGTATACGTGCATGCCTGCGAACTTTATGAAGGGGCGGGTTCAAACTTATAGTGGATGTAGCTTTACTTGCGAGGCATAGAAAGGAGACTTCTTAGCATCCAACCGCAAAGATTGTATACTGTGTCTACTATATGCCCTGCAAGCATCAGCAGTTGACCGCTTCCAAGTAGGAGGAAGCTACATACTGCAGCGATGGCGAAAACGCCACAGCATCAAGTAATTTGTTGTGGCAAAGCATGATGGCCTCAGCATCCTTGGGTGTCCAAAGGGGGCATGCCTTGACTGTACATCTCTCTGGACGGGTCAACACAAAACCAACGTGGCTGTGCGTGCCATAGCTGTAGGTAAGTGGAAGCGCAACAAAGGATCAAAAGCGGCTTTTGATGGGGCGACATGAGCTGGAAGATGTAGGACAATGTAAGGCCGAGAATCAATCCAGGAACCTGCTAAATAAACCTGTACAAACAATTTAGGATGGACAGGATTAGCATGGTCAAGCCGAGTCAGGCCTGTAAGCATGCCAGAGAGCTCAAGTCCCGAAGCCTGGTTTTCAGCACAGGAAGTGAGGCGTCATACCGAGCAAAACCTCGACAGGCTAGGCAATTGGCTGACCTTTATCTTTGTCCCGTGTCTTCTGGACAAGTCAACTGCAAATGTCGCAAGGTGGCAATCCTCTGACAGTGGTGGCATGAGCTTTTGGTTATTTCTATTGGAGAGCGTAGGAGGGGGCCTTAGATTGACAAGAAGGACCGATCCGCTTCACTTGGCACACAATCAAGCGAAATCAGCTGCAGACAGCCTAGAGGGATTCCTCTTGCCGCGGCTTTAAAAGGCCCCGGTCTGTGCCTTAAGCCCTATATATAGTAACAAGAAGAAGTACAAATATTTCGACCCAACAATGCTTACGCAATCTAAAAATAGCTCCCTCAAAGCCTTGTTTCGATTACTAGTATCCTACAGCACATGATCTAGACGCATCTTGCGCTTGGGGGTCCATTGTGACATTGTGAGGACTGTTTGGCTACCCTAAAACGATTACTGTATGATAGTCATAGGGCACTTGTGCTGAGGGATGGGGTATTCAAAGAAACACATTTTCTCTACACCCATCAGCCTAAAACCCTTGAACCCAACCCTAAACCCTCAACCCTTGAAATCCCTAAACGCTTCAAGGCATCTTCGACCCTGTCGGTCTGGGCTGGAGTGAGCGAGGGCCGCCAGCAGGTTTCCAGGTGGATGCGGAGGCGATGAAGTGGCTTGAGCTCCAAAAGGGGTAGCGCTTTGGGTTTTGGGCGTTTTCTAAAGATTTTCTTACGACAGCAGGTACCTTCTTTTGACATTCTTTTCGCACGGTGCGTAGCCTTACGTGCATTTCCTTGAACGTTTGTAGAAGAGCCAAACAACAACTGGAGGAAAGGCCTGCTTTTTACCTCATGCCTGGACCAAGACAAAAGGTAGGGCTGGGGGCGGTGGGGCGAAGAAAGGCTTCAGCCCCAGGCGAAGGGCGTAAGGGGGGTAGGGACAAAAAGAAAATTGCTCAACAACTGCTTGGGAATTTTTTGGGCTACCCCACACTTTTCCTTTGGCGCCTAGTCCCCTATGCGCAAACCCCGGCTACACGACAAGCTCGTCTGATTCTTGTTCTGGGCTTTCAAAAGGTCAGTGGTGGATGCAGAGCTCGCTACACATGGCGCCCAGAATTGGCAGGCTTCGCCTCCTTGCGGGTCAGAGCGTTGAAAGAGGAATCGCGATTTGGGATAAGCCTTCAGAGCTTTTGCCTGAATAATATCGACATGCCCAACATATGAAGCAGGTATAATTTCCGTTCTTTTCAATGCTACGCTGCATGGTTCATTCATCTCCTGAGATTGGTCTGAGCTCTGAGGATTAAACATGCATTGCATGTCATAACCATCCGCACTAACCCGCTTGTAGGATGCCCGCTGCATCAAACAGGTAAATCCCCGCATATAACACGCATTGCATGGTGTCGGAAGCACTCCTTCTTGTGTTGCAATATATGAGACATTTCCCAGCAGTGGGCGTGGACACGCTTGCAGTATGTGATATGATGTGATGGCATGGGTGCACTTTGCAAGTACGTGTGGAGGGATCGCATGACTAGCGGGGGGTCTTGCGCGTTTCAATGATTGCCATTCTCGGACGATTGTCTTAGTTTTTGTTTTAGCCTTTTGCGTTTTGGTTTGTTTGTGGCGGTTTGGGCGCGGTTATCTTTTCTAGCGTTGCGAAGTAGAGCATCCCATTCAAAATGTGCGAATATTGCAGATGGCCAAACTGGTGTCCCTACACTGGACAGGAGCCTCCCCCAGAAACGCCGTGCGACATATCTCTGGAACTTTCTGCAATGCCTCTATAGAAATAAACACCATCTTTGGTCTGCATTATGATGCATCCTTCACATTGTCCATAATGAATGGTCTAAAATAGTAGGACACGAGCTGCATCCGGCCATGCACAGGTTAGACTACACAGCGCAATAGATCATTTGGTCCGTTGCGTAGGGTGAAGCCTTAACAAGCACTCAGAGTGTTGAGAAACAACCCTAGATGCCCAAGACCCCTGAAGTGTGCCACCCTGATAGAAGCCCTAAATCTTGAACTTGGACCTTGTTTTTGGTGCATGAGAAGGTCGTCGTCGGAGGGCACTCGCGAGGCCACCTCACCGCCTGCACTTTCATGTTGCCTGGTGAATTTGGCATTGTCTTAAGCGGATGCTCATGTTTTTACGCAGAGCTGTTTTTTGGTAGATTGCGTTGGCGGATGATTTTTGCTGCGCAGCAGGTACGGTGTATTGAGAGTTTTGAGTGCTTCCTCTAGTTATCAGTTGTTGGGTTTTATGCAGGCGCCACCTACAAGTACAAGGGCACATAGGACTTGCGTCATGGTTGAAAATGGTCGTAAAAGGACATACTGGGCTTCGCTCGAGGGATTATACGGATTCTACTTTCCTGTTTGAGCTTGTCTTTTCTTATCTACTCTCTTTTGCTACGGGCTGTGGCGTGTAACATGCTGGTTCAGCTATACCTGCTGCACTTTTCATGTCGGCTGTGCTTGGGTCTTTAGTTTCAGAAGGTGACGGAACACTTCCACTTGCAAAGTTCTACACTGCCCTGGATCTCGAACCACGGGAGGAACAGACCCCCGTCCTAGCAACTTGCAAGTTTCACGACACAAGTCCGCAAGTTGGAGCAGCGCAATGAGTTTCCTAGCTTACCTGCTGGGTTGAGGGAGGCCACAACTAGGTAGTAACTAGATTGCCTGAACATACTCCCCTGCTGGTGGTTATAGAAACGGGGGAATGGATCCATCTAGTAGCCCCCACAGTATAAGGCATCGTAGTTGCTACAACTCCTTCCTTCATTCCCTGCTAGCCACCAGTACGCTTCCGATTGTCGACTCAACCCCTGGAACTCGTGGAAGGCCGTTGCTTTTGAGTTTTCATCCGACCCACACATGAGCAGGAACTTCGACTGTGACGCAAAATCAAGGGTTCTTAGCCGGGAGTATGCCTTGAGCTAGGATTCTTTCCGTCCCTCATTTTTCCATTTCCGCTCATGCGGGCCGAGGCGCCAATATGGGCAGCTCTACGAGGGAGGTGCCAAGGGTGTTGTAAAGAGGCTACTGTACAAGGCGGAGCGCCCCAAGAAAGTTAGCTTGGGCGTACTCCACATGATTTTGGCCGGGATAGGAATCAGTTCGGAGTGCAACAAATCTGGGGGCTATTATGCACGGCTGGTACATCCTCTGGACCGAGCCAGGACCTATCAACCAAGTCATTGTTGGAGTCTACTTCCCCTGGTTATGTACCACAGTCCACAAGAAGGTCAGATATGAAGTTGCAGTTCCAAGCCGTAAGCAGCAGGTGTTGCCGTGCTGGGTTTTGACGGCAGTTTTTGCGGGCCACCTGATGATGGAGCATCTTGATGGCAGCAAGTACGAGTCCAGGATATGGCACTCGAGGGCTTACTTTGAAACCGTTAGCTGAGCATATTTGGTTCTGTACAAGAGACAGATGGAGTAACAGCGGCATTGGTTCAGAAGAGTCAGCGTGCTATCCCTCAAAAGGCGCTGTCCCACAAATGCGTATCCGTCAAGAAAGCAAAGCGTTGAGGACTTAGACCATCTATAAGACTCAACCCCATCATCGCCTCCTTTTCCCAGCTCATATGAAAAAAAACATGCTACACTGATATGTTAGGGCCATCCAGCGAATGTAGATGGAGGCGATTTACGATGCATGATATGGGATACCGCACACAGCCATGCGGTTGTTTTGCCCCAAGGCCCGAAGTCACTTCAATCAAGCCAATGAAACACTCCCATCCTCAACTCCAAAACTTCATGTTCTAGCCTCAGTTGTTCGGACGAAGCACATTCTCATAGTGATGCAGCGGTGAACAAGACCATTTCCCGAACCTTCAACTTTGTGTTCTTGTACTTTGCATTGAACCTGTACGGCCTCTCACCCTTCAGAGCTCCGTTTGGATGTGCTTCAAAAGGCATACACCCATAGCTTCGTACATGCCATATGGAGGAATCTCATGTCTAGGGGAGATCTCCCTACATCTTCATCCGTGCATGATCCCCATGATCCCGCTACAGCCCTGGCATGATCCCATATCATCTATCGCCTCTATCATCCCTACCCAGCAGCAGCTGAGACTCGTGAGATTCTCGAACTCGACATTTTTCCGGTTCTTCGCTGGTCGCTGGCGCCTGTGCTGTCTTTGGTGGCCGGCTTCGCCAGGCACGGGCTTTATGTTCATAACTTCAATCATGCTCATCATGTACTCAATATCTAGGCTTCTGAGAGTCACATGAGCTGTATTCTAAACTCCTGAAAAAGATCTACAGGGTCTATGTAGGGAGCATTATAGAGGTTATCAGGGGGATACGATACTAGAAGTTTAGACTATAGCTCGCATGAGCGTGTGGGGCTATGGACCTGGAGCTTCAGATTTCGGGCTTTGGGCGTTCTCCCTTTGCAGGCCTACAGTAGTGTGGGGCTCTTTTTAACATGCATTCCCCTCCCCTCTGTGGGGCCCCCCGTTACAATGAAAATTGGGGTCCTTCAAGCCCCCTCAAAGCTTCTCACGGTTCTGGGGATTGATTTAAAAACGGATGGTCTGGGCCGCAAAAACTGCAGGGGTCGAGGGCTGACATGTTAAAGAGGATCTCCAAGTTTTGGCCCTCATTCAGGAGTCAGGATTTAAACAGAGTTGGTTCTGAAAAGGATGTTCACAGCCCTGCATTTTAAGGTAAACGGATAGGGGCCTCCAAACATTGGGCCTTATTCAGCGCGCAGAGCCCTGCTAAGCTAGCGCCTTGCCCACATGCTTGGGGCTAAGACTAATTACAAATGTCAGGGTTTTGAGAATAATGACCTCTAATGAAGCTGGTTGGTCTCAGATTTAGGATTCGGTTTCTGGCTTCTGAATCTCAAGCTCTGATGTTGGTGTTTAGATGATACGGCAACGATAGAAGCCTTTTCACAGAGTTTCTATGCCCTCCCCTCCATGCGCATGCTCAAAACAAACAAGGCCTTGTAAGCCTTCAGAATCTTTCACTAGCCCCAAATGCCCCCAAGAACCACACATGAAGTCTCAGTTTGTGTGGGATCCGGAAATCGTGCGAGAACTCCCTTAGAACAGGCAGCTCGAAGTGCTAGCAGAATTTCTGGGAGCCACTACGTTCCAGCCAGCGGAAAAGCACCCAAAAGCTCCAAGTGCTCAAAAGGGAATGCGAGAATCATTTACTCCGCGCTCAATAGGGAACGAGAGAATTAAATCCAAACCTCTTTACACGGTTCCCCATTCAAATCATCGCTGCTACATGGCAGGATCCTGTTGGTACTGCTGCTGGATCATTTATTGCAGCCATTCTGCAGTGGTCACTGTGGGACATTCTGGAACCTCACGTACGAGAACCCCAAAGCATGTAGACTTTTTTGGCGAGCTTGGGCTTGGGGCTTTCAGGGTTGTTGTTTGGGTTTTGGTTTGTTTGTTTAACTTGTGGTTAGAATATAGCGGGGGAGAATATTCCAGCGTGCGCGCAAGGGCGCCTCGAGATTCCAACCTGCAAGTCAATCAAGCAGCCAGTGCTCTCCAACGATCCCGTTGCCCCATATGAATCGTTCGGATTCCCAGAGATGCCTGTCCCTGACAGCCCAAATTCGTAGACCTAGAGTCATTTCAAGCTAGTCTGGCAGCTGCCGAAGTCTGTTTAACTGAATGATTCCGGAAGGCTGGAGAACTAAAAAGAGTGGTGACTTCCTGTACTTCTAGCTGCTTGCACGAGTCAAGCGATACTTCATGATACAGCACATTTCCTTACATTTTCCTTTACGGGGTCCCTGGAATCCCAAGCTCCATAAAATTAGGCCTCATATTGACCCTAGGTGCCATTGTTGGAGAATCCTTCTGATGTTGTAGCCAGAGCTCAGGCATGGCTGGCCCGTTGTTCACTTCGAGGAGCCTATCACTGACCTTCCTCCGCGAGCGACTAGCCGCGACGTTAGAGGCCTAGGGATGCCTAGGGATGGAAGGCATAGCCTTAAATCCTCATAGTGACAGGAAGAAAGGTGTAGGACAGCGTGTGTTTGCAACAACGGGATCTACAGCGGAATCTCTTGGAGTTGTGGTCAAATGAACGGGAACAGTACACAGCAACAGCAGCTGTCATCACCACTATGATGGAGCCTGCGTGTGGCGGGGAAAGGAAAGATGATGCCTGATAAGCATTCCTGCGTGTGTCAATCTTCTACCTGTCATGCCGCGGACGTCTCGCAGGCTGCTTGCCGGAGGGACATTGCAGGCGGACATAGGATTCCTTACTCATAGAAAAGTATTCCTGCGGGGACACAGATTGCGAGAATCTGCCTGTAGTTCATATTTCTTGGTTTGCCGAGTGTCATATGATGCCACCTTTTCAAAGGGGTCAAGGTACGGAGCTTTCACATGTGCTTTTGTGTTATGCGGGGCTTCAGTGTGCCGGATGGGTATGATGGATGCGTTCATTTCCCCTATAAGCCCTATGTTGAAAAGCGTCTTCGGGCTCAGGTGCTGGCTCGGGTGGCCGAGACATACTTGCGGCCCAACCTCTGGAGAACCTCCTCGCAGCAGGCTGACAACTGGGTGCAGGCCGCGCTTACGAGTGCGAGGAGTTTGTCGCTGGAGGTCTCTCTAAGGGCCTCATGGTCTAGCAGAAGGTGCATGAGAGGTTTAAGCGGTTTGGTTACGGTTTCAGGGATCTCCGAAAATAGAAGGGTTTCGCAGACTGAAGAGTAGCCTTCAATGACATGTGACGGCGCTGTATACCTCACAATTGGTGGCTCTAGTCACTCACCCCCGATGCGCCATTACGGCCGCTTGAGTAATCCTATTTTTCTTTACATAGTATACCTTTTTTTTGTTGGCCAGGCCTACGACGGTCCGGATGATAGCGATGGCCTCAGAAACATTTCTAGGCTAAACCGGCTGAGTGGGAGCGCATGCTTATGATGTCATTCATGTTTCTGAAGGACAAATTCTAAGCCTGCCTGAGTCTTCAGGGTGCACAAGTCAGGGGCAAACGGGCTCAGGGACTTAAATTTGAAGGTGTTGGATGCAGTTGGGGCGATGTGGACTTAAGCGCTAAACTTTTCAAGCTGAGAGCTTGAAGTGTTTGACAGGGCTGCGTGGCTCAGGTATTTTGCACAATCCCAACTGCTTCAGGGCAAAGGTGAGACGAACACAAGTTGGGGAAAGCAGACATGAGGTACATTCTAGCTTGCAGCTGACCAGGTGAGGCAACTAGTCCAGTAGGTGTTAGGGTTTGGGTTCCGGTGCAGCTTCGTTGAGGTCCATGGACTCATACACCAACAGACTCAAACAGACATGTCCTACATTCACCTGCATGCAACCCGCAAGCATGCATGGTCCGATCTTGCATAGGCAACGCCAAGAAAGCCAACACGTCACTCTGAATTAGTTCCGTGGTTCGAAGAGGAGCACCAACGGGTCAAAGTCAAGCAACCTACATTACACTGACGCGTTTGGATGATGGCTTGTCACGAGTCACCAGTGCGGATTCTTTGCTGGCCGGTCTTCCACTGTAAGGAGCCTACTGCCTTGACACATAGGAGATGCGCCTAAGTGCTGCGCAGTACAAGATGGTTCCCTATGCATCAGATTTTGGGGTTTCCTTAATTATGAGCCCCTCCCTAGCCTGAAGTTGTGTATGAGACTCCCGAAACAGGCTTAGGACCCAGGATGAGATATCCCCTCGAGTGGACGCCGGGCTGTGGGCACCCCCAGTAAGATGTCCGACTTAAGGAACCCCAGACATGAACTACTCTTCAAAGACTTTAAGTTTGTACCCTTAATGTTTGTAACCCTAGGTTTGGGTCCTAAACACCCTTATTAAGGGCCATATTCCATGGTTTAGGGACCCAAACCCAAGGGTACAAACCCTAAGGGTACAAAGGAAACCTCCCTCAAGTCCTTGAACGGGAATCCGGAGCTTCTACCCTCTTGCAAAACAAGCAAACAGGTTCCCTGTCTGCTTGGGAGAGGGCAAGCTCTGAGCCCAAAAACTTTGACCAACAGTCTTGCCTCTATTCTTATTATGATAATTGTTTTTAGTGTTATTACTATTCTTACTGCCAAGGGTCTTAAAAATGACCAACAGCATGAAGCCCCGGAATCCTTCAAGTAGAGCTTAGGCGACTGCAGCCGCTTAGGACTCGGGCCAAGCTGGAAGCGCCCTTCATCCCCAGACACTTGGTAGCAAGAATCAGTACTAGTAGAAATCATAGTAATAGTCATAATAGTAAGAATAGGGTCAAGAATAGGATGTCTCAACGGGGCCTCATTCTACCTCATTCCGTTGATCGCTTCAGGGAGTTCGGAGGTGGTTTACTGCAGTATTCTACCCCTGCTGGCGCTCACCACCTCTTCAGCATGACCCTAGATCTAGGGAATGTTAAGGAGTTTTCAGGTATGACATAGGATTATGTGCGTGTGTGTACGAATTCACCAAGGGATTGCACTGACATAACGTAATTAGGGGTTGAGGTGTTTGTAAGGCATGTAGAATCTATAGCAAAATAATCTATAAGGTCTAGAAGCTGAGCCAGCCATTGAGGCCTCAGCAATCAGGGACGATGCGAAAGTTCAGGGACCACGTCGATCTTCAACCCTGATCCTTGAATCCTCACGACAGCCTCAGTACCGCACATTATTTTGTAGCTGAACCCCTCGCGCTCCTCACTAGTAGGCATACCTTTCACACAGTCTTGATTTTCAGAACTGTACATGGGTCATCATCTGTATTCAAAAAGGGCCAATCTAGGATGTGTTTCATTTCGGAAGTATTCAGGGCACCCGCATCAAGAGGAGCAGGTGTGTTTCTGCATCTGACGCAACGTCTAGGCACACTGGAGCCGTGTAAGGTGAAGTTTGCAGAATGGGGATATTGTTGGCAAGCCTAGGAAGCCATTAGCTGTCTGGGAGGCTTGAGGGTATTAACTCATGTCTGATTGGATTGTCATTGAAAAGCCCAAATCTAGTTGACACAGGAGCATCTCGACATCCGCCGGAATGAGGTTTGCATTGGCAAGGGCGGGAGGGACAGGGTCTGCGCCACGCACGATGCTGGGCTTGAACTGCAAGCGCAAAAGGTTGTACTGTAATTTGCTAGAGTCTTTCATGGGGACTAATTAGGTGGGAGAGCTTGGGGCCCTTGGTTTTGAAGGGGTCCACATTGTTGAGATCTTGTCATGTGAGTGTACAGCCTAATACTTACCTTGTCTTGTGTCGGAGGATCTGGTATAGGCTTCAGAGCAGCAATACTCCCAGCCTGGCCAGACCCCAGCTTCCTTTTTCGAGCATGTGCGGGTGTGTGTGGGGTGGGGGGGGGACGGTGCGCAGATGTTAGTTTCTGAAATTCTCGAGCTGACGGAGGCAAAGATAATGCATTCCAAGTGATTTGTGGTTCTAGGCTCTCCGGCATTTATTACTGTACCCCAAAACGTGACACAGAATCTCATCTGCAGCTCCAGCATGCACCGAAGTTTGTGCAACAAATCGCTGGCACCAAGTGCCTGTACCGTGGAACCGTAGGCCGGACCCAATGGGCCCTGGAACCCTGGCAACCCGCAAGCCCAGGATACCATCATCATGCAGCGACGATTTGCAGCCTTGGCTAGCGAGGCTTTGAGAGGTCAGCAGACATTCTTTGCTCCTTTACTTTGCTTTCTACTAAGTAGTGCTACTGCCACCGTAAATGCTATCACAGCTGCCACCGCTGCTGGTCATTACGGTACGTTCCACGATCGATAGGATGGCATCACAAGAGAGTTCATCAATGTTCTGGGGGCTTCCAACGCATCCCATCTTTTTTGACAGCCACTCGCAGACTCCCCCTAAACAACTCCCTACATATCCGCATGGTGGCCCCAGCAAAGCCGCAGAACCCCAGGCACGGTGCTATCACCCCGGAGCAGGAGCCCGTTTATAATCCCTCTGGGGCACTCGTATATAAACATTATGTAAGCTTTACGATGATTTAGGTGGGGAACCTGCATCATGCAAGGACAAGGCCCTGGCTTTTCTGCGTCAGCTTTCAGGGCAGACCTAGGAAGCCGAGGACAAAAGATGCGCGCCCTGCGGTGAAGCACAGCCATTGCAAGCATATTTACGGGCACATGGGACATGTAGAAAGGTATGAGGGCTTGTGTGGGAACAGTCAGGGATTGGATGCGGGATTTCTCAAGGTCCTGGCGTTTGGGTCACTGTGCAGCTGCAGGATTATGGGAATTGTAACGTGGTGCAGATTACATGTATAGCCGTCTTGATAACCCAGCCGCATATGTGCTTGACATCAGACTCAGGTCTGATGATTAGACGTTAGAATGCCCAGGTTCTTCTCAATGTTCGGGTATTGCAAACTCTGCACAGCCCACCACTGGGGAGTGTACCTGGCGAAGGTTACATGTCGCAGGTTCCAAGGTCAACGAAAGGATCATAGGGCATGACGCAATTGGTGAAATTTTCCATTTCCCAGAAGCTCTAAATACCTCGAATACTGCAATGTGGAACACCTCTGGTCTGGAAGTGCCTAACCTGCGCGAGGGGTGGTTGACAACCTCAGTACATCGCAGAAGGACCCGCATGCTTGATTTGGTTTGCCGGTTGGCTGGGCACTGGTTGTCCCTTCGTGCGAATCATTCGGTTACTTTGCTGTTGAGAGGGTGGTATTTCCTTCTTTCTTGTGCCTGCTCCCACTACAGAATGTCTCATGACATGCAGATCGGGAACCACGATGCAGCACATTGGGGCACTCAACAGTCAAGTTTGGGCAGGGTACTGGGGTGCGGCCTTCCCCATGCCCTGAAAGAGCTGCAATGCCTTAATTGAGCTTGCGGGTATCTTTGATTGTCAATCAAATCAATCGACGTTGGTTTGGATGCTGCATGGAGTGGACGTCCAGATGCTGCTGAGCTTGTAGTCTGTCTGCCTCCATCTGAAGCACCCCGGCGTTTGAGCAGTCCATGCTGAGCTGCACCACAACGGCTAGTTTGGCGCCATTCCCTTAGGATTTTGGGTTAGAGGAAGCGGGCTTGTGGTCCCCGGTTTGATAAGATGTCCAACCGGGAACAACCTGAGCAGGATACAGGATACTATATTAACTCAAGACTCCTCAAGTCTCACTTGAACATCTTGGCTACATCATGGTAAGTGCTGTTGTCTGTGGATCCGATGAGATTGTCGAGATTGTCTTCTCCTAAGCGAATAAGGTGTCATGACTCTAAAAGTCTCAAACCCTATGGGCTTTCATCTCAAAAACAGTCACATCTTTGGCATTCAGCCCCTAACCCAAAAACATTCATGAGACGCTAAAGTTGAAAACCCCAATCCTATCAACCCCTCAACCCTAGACCCCGAAGTGTTCTGCAAGCAGCTGCTACCAGGACGGAAGCCTCGCAGATGCCTCTGCTGCAGAGGAGGCGGCAGTCCCTGCTGTTTGGGTTCGTCGGCGCTTTGCAAAACAAGGATCTGAACTCTCAGCGGTTTCCCTGAAGATGATACGGCAGCCTTAGTGCAGCTTTCACTGCCGATGCAATAATTTGTCCTCACTTGATGTCTTTAAGCCTTCAGGTGGGTTCGTCTAATTAATTAATCAGAGGTGACCTCCCACAACCGACTGCACGGAGCGTAGGGACATCGTCTGCATCCAAGAGCTCTGTGACTGTCCGTCAACCAATCCATGCATGACTTAACAGAGTGTCCAGGTACTGAACAAGTTGGCTTTCATGCCACAAGTACTTTAATCAGAATGTTTTTGTACCTGACGCCTTAAATTTTCGCTCCTTGGACCTCTGGCAGTATAATGCCTGGACACCAAGTGTGAATCATCCTAATAAAGCCTGGACAGTCTCTCTGATCATTTGCCTCCGGTTTGTCTTTTCGAGTCCTCGGCTCAGTTGGCTTCCAATGCCGCGGCCGTCACGCACCCAGATGTCTCCAGTCCACTTGAGACTCAGCTGACGAACGGGATCATGCAATTTTGTGTTGCAGGGCGTGCAGGGCATGAGTTTTGATTGCAGCTTCTTGGGCGCATCGTCCGATGTCTCTTGTTCGGATCCCCACCTCTGAGGGGGTTCCGCACTGGAATAAAAAGGCCACGATGCCGGCCACTCTGGATTACTCCTGAGCCTGAAGCCTTCCAACCAAGGCTGATAAGTGTTGTCAGCGGTTTCCTGCTGTGGAAGGGACTGCATCTGTTGTAAAGGAGTGCTTCTTGTTCCTGGCATATTGGGGTCTTGCTGGGAGGGAGGTTTCTTTTTTCGAGCATCTTTGCGCATCACGATGTAGAGCTGTGTAGATTTAATACAAGAGGTTCAGGAAACAAAGCCCCTCAGGATGTTAATGGGGTCGCCACGGGTCGTCCCAGCTGGGGTGTCCGACACAAAGCACGCACACACAGGTTCTGGGATCGAGCATACAGGCCACGCAAAGCTAGTAAACTTCATTGTACGCCACTGCCCTAGCAATAACTGCAGGTCCTTTCACTGTCTCAAGACACCCATACCACAACGACCATGGGTGGCCAAAACTTGAGGAACTGGGTAGTTCCATGCCAGCGCAATGAGCATTCAGTTCATCGCAAGCAAAGCGGCTGCTAATCCAAAACTTGACAGTACACGTTCCTTGCTCGTACGTGCTTGCGCTGCATCAGAATCGCTTTAGGATCTCGAAGCGTTTTGACTGTTCAAGCCCCGTAGCCGGTATGTGACTCCTAGTATATGTCCAGAGAAACGGCCTTTGAGAAACTTACTTCAAGGTCCGGATTGGCTTCCTGGTGGTCCCTGCAGAGCTGATCTCCGGGAAGACGCAGGAGGGGGTCAGGGTCTCCCTCTGGTATCATGGCCCAATCCCCAAACCCCGACTTTGTCAGCCCAACGCCCTAAGCCGCAAATCCCCGGACCCCAGACACCTAAGACCTAATATAAGATGTGTATGTATCTATATGTAGACTTATAATACAAATCTCTATATACATATATATATATACACGCCGCATTCTAACATTTTACTATTCATAGATAGATGTATATAGATATATATATATATATTAGTAATGTGTGTGTACATATATATATATATGTATACGTACAGAAAATTCCTAAAGTCCTTGTCGAGGCCCCATCGCCTGAAGCAGAGCCGCGGGAGGAGATCCTATAGGGTTTTATCTGCTTTCAGCCATACGAGTAGTTCTCAAAATTATTGGGCCGTTTTTGGTTATCGATTCTGTTACGGCACCTAATCTTTGGGGGGGTACCAACATAAGGCCCAATTTTGCGAGCTACCCATGTTTTTTCGATCGTTCATTTCTAGGGGGTGACTGGGGTCTTGCGGGTGTAGGGCTCCTAAACCCTAAATCCTGAAGACCCTGAACTGGTCATGGTGGGTATATGGGGACGGAGAGTCCGGGCTCCTTGAGGATTAAGCTATGGTCGCTGCGATTGCTACATTTCCGGATTTACATTCTTCCGAGCGCTGGAATCTGGTTATGCTTTTGTCTTTCAATGCCATGGCAGCTTCTGTTTCTTTCGGCCATGCATACAGTCGAAGGTAATTATCTTGATGCTTGTGTTTACAGATTCCGTGCTGAATTTTGGGTGTGTAGGCCCTTCAGGGTGTGGGAATGTCCTGCCAGGAGGCTTGGGTTGGGGTATCAAGTACTCAAAAGGTCCGATTGAGCCTGACACCGAGTATTCTTCATTCCGGAAGTTTGTGTTGAGCAGGCGCGCTGGAACTTGTTGGGGCTTTCATGATAATAGTTCAGGGGAGACATGATCTGGTAGTTTCCCAACATAAGGGGACCCCAATATAGACCCCAAGATAGTGCCCCTATTTTTTGGGAAGCCTCCATCATCTGGATCATGATGGCGGGGGATGTGCGCTGGGATTCTTGACCTAATATCATTGGAGAGCCGACCAGGCTTTGCAAGCCTAGAGCCGAGAGCGCAAGGAATATAGTTAACCCCAAGTCAACATTTATTTCAGCAATCTATGTACGGTGACATTTTTTCAACAAGTGGAGGGCGGCCATCCCAACGTGCCGCGGAGGTAGTATAAAAGATCTATCTAAATCCGGATGTTTTCCTGTTTAAATTCAATTCCGGATGTTTTTGATCGTGGGCGGCCGGGCGCCATGCTTTGTGGAGCTAGTATAATATACCTGTTCACTTGTTTACGTGTCCGGATGTTTACAAAGCGTCGCCGTATTATATATATATATACATATATGGACCTTGAACTAGATTTTACTTAAGACCTGCATGGCCCCTTAGCTTTTGGCTGTCTTGGGGGGCCCATAGGTCGGGGATATGATTCCGGGTCTTGGCTTCGGGAGTTCTCTGGGCCAAAAGCCTTAGCTTCCTTGACAGTAGCCATTCCCAGGTCCCCAGATCCAAAACCACATATCAGAGTCCTTAGGGTTTAGGGTTCCAACCCTCAATTCACCTAGATTTCCTGTAAGAATACCTAGTACGTAGTTATGACCCACCCTCAAGAAGATGACAATTATCCCTGATGCCCCGGCCGCCTTGGTGTCTACCTCGTTTGGATTTCGCAGGCTCTTGGTGCGAGCCTGACTCGGATCTCGGCCCAGGCGCCCTGAGCTCTTGCTTGCTTGAAAAGTGAGGATGCTATGGCCACCTTTACAATCCAGAAAGGGGGCCTCCCAAGATTCTAGTCTTCTATGGATGATTACCCGTAATTATTCTGAGAAGCTCGCGTCATCCCATGTGGAGATTTTTCTGGGTTTTTGCAGGCACCACAGGCTCACACATCAGGGGCAAGGGCTTCAGGAGTATTTTCAGGATGGGAAGAGTGTGAGGGCCCAACAAACCTTCTGGCTTCTGTAGCCTCATGTCGCCCCTTGTTCAGCCTTTGCTGGGGCCATGGAAGAACTGAATAGCCTCCGTCCCGCGTTTGGTCTGTGGAAAGTGAGCGGCGGAGAAGCTCCCTTCAAGACTGAGCGTTTTCAAGGTTTTGCACTTCAGAAGCTGGAGATCTCAGATGAGCCTTACTACGATCCAGGTGATTTGTCATGCGTCGTTGAGCAACCTG